TGTGTTTTTCTCTTTGCTAACACAAAGAATAACAACTGCGTTTTCAGAGAATAAGATATGTGTTTAGACAGAGAAGAAGAGGTGGGTTTAAATGGTGAAAAATTGATTCCTCACAACTGTATTTTCAGAAAATAATAAGATATCTAACTAATGCATCACATTTATTACCAAACACACATTAATAAATGAACATGCATTCATSACAATCTCAACCATAATCGAACAACAACTGAATTAGATAAGTAATTGGATAATCCAACTAGATAGGATTATCTAACCAAACATTAAGCAAAACACACGTTATATTTATCCTTGTCACTTACAACTACTGGAAATACTCAATTCATGTAGCTAACCAAGCATGAACCAAATCAAGATCAACCTCTAAGTCTAAGCTACACTGAATGCAACCAAAKGAAGCTAAAAATAAATTAAGAGAGAAACCTGTCAATAAATTAACTCTTCTCACATTGATTCCTTCCATTTTTATATAATCTCAAAAACTAATTTCATTCCAGAAAAAAGAAAAAAAAAACTCAATTAGTCTAGAAATATTTCATATTCCTAATCTTATCATGAAACTTAAATCCAAGAGAAACAAAAAAAAAAGATCTTTATCTAATCTAGTACCGAATCATAGTGCAAAAAAACTCAGAATCAAATGGAAACAAATCAGATTTYSATACAAAATCTACAAATTTCGCTAAACAAGATGTAAAGTTTTGGTTTTTTGCATTTCGCTAAAAAAATTTCGCTAAACAAGATGTAAATTTCGCTAAAATCGCAAAAATACACTCTAAATTCTCCATCAAAAGTGGCACAAACAGAGCCTCCGTTTGTCAATAACCGAAATGTCAGAGACGAATTCAAATCAGAGTACCAAAAATCAGAAATTTCAGATTAAATTTCAAATAAATCAATGAGCATTGTGATTGAAACAAGGTTAAATTATCACCTTCTGTTCAAGCTCTCAACTTCATCAGTCACTTGACCTCCAACCACCACTTTGCTAATCCCATCCGATGGCTACCACAGAAAAAACACCCAAATTGAATAAACCCACACAAACTCCAGATAGAAAAAATTGCTAAGGATTCACCAAAACCCCTAAAATCAAAGTCAGAGTAGCCGTGTACCTGATGAGAACGAACGRCAGAGCGAGAAGCGGAGGAAGGAGAATCCGGCGGTGGAACCTCCGAACTTGTAAGTAGATCTGCGGTGGATGTGTGTAGTTTCCTCACCGGAGTGTTTCTCTCATACTCCTGCTTGCTTTGTCTCCGGCAACACCAAATCGAAGAAGATTACTCTCTTTCGCCGTTTTTGTAACACAAAAGCCTATCGCCGGAAAATCGCCTTCGGATCTCTATTCCGA